TTACGTCCTCTTTTACTGCTTCGGGTTTCGAGGGATATATAAGGTCCTGCTTCGTGCTCTTCTGGCTGTTTCGACCATTAACACATCGTGGTGCTGTAGAGTTTCTCTGATGTTATCTTCCCAAATTGTTCTTGATCTACCTCTTGCTCTACGTTTATCTCCTCTTTTGGTATATGCCTTGTATGGTATATCATAAGGAGGCATTCTCTCCAAGTGGGCAAACCATTTGATTTGCTGTCTTTGTATGTAATTAAGATTTAATATTGATTATGTTGAACAATTTTATTCCATATTTTCTGCTTATGACAAAACAATTACTAAGATTTTAGTCTATTAGTCATGGCTTATTCATTCTCCATGATTCTGCTGGATACACAAACTGTATACACCCTGGAATCAGACTGTAGACAAATGTGTCCCATGTAGTTGAACAAGAGAAAGATGTAGTCTCGAAGTCCACACATCACATCCTCCCCCATTCATCATATCCCACATTCTGGCACTTTTTATGGGGATATGTTAGTGATAAAGTTTATAGCATAAAAACTTCAACAGTCAATGGATTAAGAGCAGCAATTAAAAGAGAACGACCCGAAATACCAATTAAATTGATAAATGATGTTTGCTATCCAATCTGTCTTCCTTATCAGAAGGGCCTGCAACAGAAAGTTCATAAGTTCCAGCTTCACTTGGAGTATTTACAGCTGTCCAGGACAGTGCAGGACAAGAGGTCTTGAACCCCAGGATTTAGGACTAGTGCTTTAGGATTCTGTTGTTGCAAATAACAGAAAACAAATTTCCATCGCCCTACCGAAGATTCGAACCTTCGAACCTGATCTCTCGAAAAATAATCCAGTGTTAATAGGGCTCGGGTAGTCACACATCAGTTCCAACACCTAGAATAAAACTGTTGTTTGCAGCTATGACGCTATCATTATTGCCTGAAACAGAACATTCGTCCAAAGATGGGACGAAACTGTTCGCTATTTTAAAGCCTCAGCCCCGTGTGTAGTCGGGGGTCCTGATGTAACCTAACGGTTGAACGGTGTTTCTGAGGCTTGTGCCAGGGTGATCCTCATCTGAACGATGGCCCTTTGCGTCACCGGGTGTTGGTCGCCTGTTTACCGGTCCTGGTGGGGGTCGAGCGACATACACTGGAACAAAGCATTTTTTTCTAACATGTAAAATATTATCATCGTCATTATCATCACCACCATTATTATCGTCATAATAATCATCATCCTTCTGTGTCGTTCGTATGGGCTCAACATCATTATCATCAAAATCTTTGTCCTGATGTGCAATTATATGTCACGCGAGGCTCGCAGTCTATTCCTCAATTCCATTCTATCAATTGCAATCCTGTCGATATCATGGATGGACTTCAGTCCAGAACATTTAGTTTCTCTTATCAACGTTTTAGGGTTTCTCTTTGGCATACATAGGGCATAAAGTACCAGCAAAATAATTTTTAAACTATTCTAAGTTTGCCTTCTCTAATTTGAAATGTAAAATCGAAGCATATATTACATCCTTTTTTTCAGACGAAACATGTTTTAGCAGCAGATGTCCAAGAGATCAACATCCCTCTTTCGTTTACTTCTTTTTATTCAAACCTCCTAAGGTGTCGAAGAAGATGCAAACTTCTGGTTCTCGCTCTTTTAGACGCTCGATCATAGACATTGGACCCGGTTGTTGTCTTTCTCTGATGTGATTTTTTCCACGTTGTTCTCGGTCCTCCCCAGGTTCTACTCCCCTCTCTCGTCTTTTCTGTGTTTCTATGTACCTTGTTTGGTATTGCAGCACAAGACGTTCTATCAAAGCGGATAGACATTTCCATTTGCCGTGATAACCAACAAGGAAAATCAAGAGTGTATTATTTTAAATGAAGCTAAATGCACAGCATAAATAAAAATGGGATAGTCAGATTTCCTTGGTATACACAGACCGAAACTAAAATCTAACGGATAGCATTATGCCAGCCATCATTAGATTCACACGTTTGTGAGCTGCATCCGACTGAAATAGTTAACAGACACATCTTTCTAATCAACCAACAAGTAAATACAATCAAAGGGTATGTACATTTTCTAGGGCATCCTGCACAAAGTCTGGAATTAAATTAAAAAAAAGGAGCATATCATGGATTTTCTGTCCAGGAAATTCGGGTGTTCGGGGTAATAAGCAGTTTGATAGATTGGCTGCTGGCACTGCACTCGGTTGTGAGCTACTTTATGTATGATAAGGCGGACATGGTGAAAGCACCCTGGGACCATATGGACAGTGCGATAGAATATACAGAGGATACATATATTCAAAGACTAATTCAGATGGTTTGAGTTGAGGGCCTGAAGGGTATTCAACACTAAAAGGGAAGCAAAAGCCAACTTTTAATGTGGGTTGCAACTGATACTATTAGCATGTCGACTAACTGCCGGTTACTGAAGTAGAGATAAAACATGCACGGAAATGTCCCGAGTGCAGGGATTTCAATTTTTGGTTCATTTATTCATTCACAACTGGCACACACAATACGGTGGTACCTGTTAGAATTTCGATGCCGACTTTCTCCGTTCCGTAATGAAGATTCATGCGATGGGTCCACATTTGGACTTGTAAGAATTGTCACTGGCGTTGTTTTTTCCTCTGGCTTATGATATTCTATAATTAATGTGTTAAAAAAAATACAATAGAATAATGAAAACTTCCCATCAGACATTAACAAGAGTCTAATGAAAACAAGAATCAACAGTTGAAGCATAGTTGCAAATTTTGTACATATCATTTAAGAAGCATCCTCAGCGTATGTTGGTTGCTTGTAGTTTTACTAGACAATACAACGTTCAGTGGTTTGCTATTGCCCACTGGTTTGCTATTGCCCACTGGTTTGCTATTGCCCACTGGTTTGCTATTGCCCACTGATTCACTATTACCCACTGGTTTGCTATAGCCCACTGGTTTGCTATTGCCCACTGGTTTGCTATAGCCCACTGGTTTGCTATTGCCCACTGGTCTGCTATTGCCCACTGATTCACTATTACCCACTGGTTTGCTCTTGCCCACTGTTTGCTATTGCCCACTGGTTTGCCATTGCTCACTGGTTTGCTATTGCTCACTAGTTTGCTATTGCACACTTGTTTGCTATTGCCCACTTGTTTGCTATTGCTCACTTGTTTGCTATTGCCCACTTGTTGTTTGCCGACTGGTTTACTATTCCCACTTGTTTGATATTGCTCACTAGTTTGCTATTGCCCACTTGTTTGCTATTGCACACTTGTTTGCTATTGCCCACTGGTTTGCTATTGTCCACTGGTTTGCTATTGCCCACTGGCTTGCTATTGCCCACTGGTTTGCTATTGCCCACTGGTTTGCTATTACACACTTGTTTGTTATTGCCCACTTGTTTGCTATTGCACACTTGTTTGCTATTACCCACTTGTTTGCTATTGCTCACTGGTTTGCTATTGCACACTTGTTTGCTATTACCCACTTGTTTGCTATTGCCCACTTGTTTGCTATTGCCCACTTGTTTGCTATTGCCCACTTGTTTGCTATTGCACACTTGTTTGCTATTGCCCACTTGTTTGCTATTGCCCACTGTTTGCTATTGCCCACTTGTTTGCTATTGCCCACTGTTTGCTATTGCAAACTGTTTGCTATTGCCCACTGTTTGCTATTGCCCACTGTTTGCTATTGCCCACTGGTTTGCTATTGCCCACTGGTTTGCTACTGCCCACTGTTTGCTATTGCCCACTGGTTTGCTATTGCCCACTGGTTTGCTATTGCCCACTTGTTTGCTTTTGCCCACTTGTTTGCTTTTGCCCACTTGTTTGCTATTGCCCGCTGTTTGCTATTGCACACTTGTTTGCTATTGCCCACTTATTTTCTATAGCCCACTTGTTTGCTATTGCCTACTGGTTTACTATTGCCCACTGGTTTGCTATTGCTCACTAGTTGCTATTGACCTCTAACGGCCTCCGCTCCACACCACTGTCGAAATCAACACAAAGCGTTATGTTGCCAGATTGTCTGCTGTTTAACAGAACCATGTAAAGTAAGTAAAGGACCATTCTTCAGGCCTTCAGGTGTATGGGGCAAATCTTTTATTGACCAGTCGGCATTCGGTGGGTGATGTGGTTATCTGTTACCCATTTAAGGCTGAGTCGACCTGGTAGCCAAGGTCTTCTTATTCTTCTTCTCTGCCATCATTAAACATCATGTGCCCAGAGCTGGTGTCGTTAGGTGCTACACGTAAGATTGACAAAAGAGGGATCCGAACACTTATGGATTTAATGGTTGGATGGATTCGATGTGCAAGGAGGATGATCTGTCGACTAACTAATAATTTCTTGCAATATTATGCATTAGAATGACCAACATCTCAAACAACTAACTTGGTATCTATTGTAATGTTACTTGGTCTGTGCTACTCATACTCAACCCAAAAAGAGCCGCCAGAAAGCTCGGCAAAGGAAATTAAACTTGACAACTGTTGAACGAGCGAACGTTTCAACCAGGTCTTTATTAACGAACATAGCAACCCCATCTCCTTTCTCATATTTTCGATAGATAGCTAGTTTCTTTCAAAACATCAACGTGCATTTGATATATCCACGATGTTCTCATCATTATTCTTAAAATCCACATCTCTGCACCTTTCCACATAACTGTTCAAGAGTCCTTTACTTATCTTCAATAACTTAATCGTTTTCTGACTGACTCAAAGGAAACTAACTCGTTAAGAGAATAGATTGCCCATATCAGAATTTGACAGTTTACATTCCTAGGTTATGTCACGAGAAAACTGGAGTACATCGTAATGGTTGGAAAGTAAGAAAAGAAGTGACGGTGGACGACCAAGAGAAGAGATACTGGACCGTTTGACATCATGACATGGAAGATTATATGTGCCGGAGTTGATTACAAATACAAAAGACAGAAGGCTGTAAACAGACATTACTATCAACGCCACACGGCATGGACTATGATAACCGTCTTACCTTGCAGCAACATTGTCTCAGCGTCATTGCCCAGGAGGTTCAGAGCATAACATTCATACTCTCCAAAGTCCTCCTCAGAAAGGGCCTGTATCTGGAGGCTGAGGGTGATTTTGTTGGGGCTCTCATTGTAGATCTCTGTGGAGTATTTGTTACTCCTGGTGATTTCTTTCCCGTCTTTCTTCCACACACTCATGATCTGTGGGTATGCTGTAATCTCGCACTCCAGAATTGTCTTTTTTCCTCGCAGTTGGCTTATCTTCCGGTTGGGCAGTCTGACCTCAGGAGGAACTGGCATATGGAAACAAAGATTTAATACTGAAGCATGGTAAACAAAAATATACAACGATAAAAAAAAATGGTTAGTGCACTTATAAAATGCCTCTTCAAAACCTGACGCTGAAAGTCAGAACAGGACCAGAAAAAAAAAAAAAAAAAAAAAAAAAAAGAAAAAGAACAAGAAGAACAAGAAAAACAAGAAGACCCCCCCATGTCCTAATGAGTACGTCTCTGGGATTGACCCAGCCTCAAGAAAAAGGTAAACAAAGGGCTGATAATCTTATACCTATATGTATTTGACTAAATAACGCTCGATGGGTGGTGATGATGCTAACATCACACTTGCCCCGTATTTAGTTCCCAAGTCTTACATGATGATCATTAGAAGCTAGGACGACCTGAGAATCAAAGTCGGTTGGAAAAAAAATCCTGTCTTGATGTGGATTCAAACCCAGCACTTTTGAGCCAAAAGGTGAGTGAAAAGCTAGTAGTTATAGTTATTCTTTCGAAATAGATTGCGGATAATGTAAAGTATATTATAGGAATTGTCTTAAAAAGAAAGGCAGGGCATGTCTGGAAAAAAATATGATTTCGTTTCTGATTTATCCTACTCCAGTAGTAGTGGTTCCTGTAGTTAGATCTACAAACATCTTCGTAAAAAGTATTCAGGTACTTTGTCTGGATAAAAGTTCTATACCAGATTCAACCCCACATAGGTGAGCGATATTCAGCCTCAGTATCACATGAAATGGAACTTAACGATAAGAAGATAAAGAACCAGTGAGCCAACCAACCAACCAACCAACCACTCAGGGAGCCAACCAACCAACCAACCCACCAGGAGCCTAGCCAACCAACCACCCAAATAACCAACGAGCCAGGAAACCAGCCCACTGACCAACCAACCAACCAACCAACCAATAAACCAACCAACCTGGGAGCCAGCCAACCAACCAACCAACCAACCAACCAACCAACCAACCAACCAACCATCCAGGGAGCCAGCCAACCAACCACCCAAATAACCAACGAGCCAGGGAAATAGCCAGCCCACTAACCAACCAACCAACCAACCAGGGAGCCAGCCAGTCCACTAACCAACCAAGCAATCAAATAATCCTTCAACCAACAAACCAACTAGTCAGCCCGCTAATCAGTTAACAGACCAACCAATCCACCAGTTAACATGCCAGTCAACCAAGTACTAAAAAAAAAAAAAAAAAATTAGACGTTTCTCAAGCCACACACTACAGATCCTATAGGAACGGTAAAACAAAGGAAGACTCTAGCGGCGTGCTTTTCAATCGATGTACACATTTTAAAGTGCACCCAATTCTTGACCAAATGTAGCAAGCCCACAAACACTAGCTTGGAAATTCAAACAAGTCATCTGAGAAGGTCTGCAGCTAGCTGATACACCGCAGCCTTGAAATCCAACCCCTGAGCCAAGTGGGGAAAACTGCTAGAAACGCAAGGATCATGTGATGAAAACATGCGCGTGGAACGAGACAAGGCAAACCAACGTAAAAATATGATGGCTAAAAGCCAAAGTTCTGGTCCCACAGGGCAACTCACTGATCGGCTAAAGAGCACATGAACGGTTTTCCAGATCCAGGATGGAAACAGATCACGCGGAAACAAATATCAATATATAAAACTATCTGTCATTTTCTATATGTACTCTACTACACCTGATCCGCCGTGGTGTAGCGGCTAGACGTTCGCCTGCGGATCAGATGATCGTTATTTTAGGTCCTGACAGAGCAGGATTTTCTTCAAAAATGACCTTGGTTCCTAGGTCAAAAGAGCCTTAAATGGGTACCAGGTGCAGTCCACGGAGGTGTTGACACGATCACCCACCGAGTGCTGATTTGTCTATAAAATATAGATCTAACATTATACGCCCAAGACGCCTACAAGAGTTGAAAAAGGCCATTTACTTTACTCAACTTTTTACTCTTCCAGACACTCCGGGGTAAAGAGCCGAATACGAATACGAATAGTGTATCACCATCATCAGGTGCCTTGTCGACTGGCATGGGCGATTATGCCTAGCCACAATTTGGGATCTCCAGCAGCATGTATTAGTTCGTGTGCTGACATACCTCCATGCCATGCAACAAGACTATCAAGAATCTTCTCTCGTTGTCTTCCTCTATCCCTCCTTCCACAGATCTTTCCATTGGTAATTAACTTAAAAGGCCCTTTCAATGTCAGTGGCGCATCGGCAAACGATGGGACACTTATATTTTTCATAGACTCAATCAGCACTCAATGGGTGATGTAGCAACATCGTATCAGCAGTCTTTACTGACTGACTGACTTACTTACTTAGTCGCCCCTCTTCTACCTTGGGGTGTAGAGGTTTGCCAGAGAGATCGTCATACGTCTCTATCAACAGTTTTCTTTCTTGCTTTGTTTCATTCCACTCATCTGTCTGTTAGGGACTGTCGGATGTTGTCTTCCCTGCGCACCCTGGGCTGCCCTGGAGGTTTGGTTCTCTCGTTCTTAGCCTCCCATGCTTTTCATGGTGGACGATTTTCTTTCATTGTGCATACATGTCTGAACCATCGTAACTGTGACTGATCCACTCGGGTTTGTAAGGACTGGGTATCAAGATTTTGACGCATTGTCTGACTGCGGACTTTATCTCTTCTTGTCACTAGTCTTTACTTACAACGAAATTTTCTGATACCCATTTAAGGCTGGGTGGGGACAGAGAGCAACTATTCTTCTTTCTTCTCTTGACACTGAGTGTAGCCCAGTGTTACGCTTTTCTTAACTGTACTGTGCTTCTTGGTGGGCTTTGGTGATGGATTTGTTCACCTTTTTTTTTTGCAGGTTCCTGCTATACCATTTATCGATCGTTTTTTTTTTGGTGTTCAACTTGCCTTTCTCTCAAATGTTCGGCTGCTAAACAAGAGCCAAGGTTAATTTAGAAAATATTCAATCTTGATGTAGATTATAACAGGAAATACGGAGGTAACCAGACTATACTCACATTCTACGTGTGTACACTAAAATATGAGAAAAACATGAAATAGGGAAGAAGCTAGACTATACTCACATTCTACGTGCACACGTATTTCTTTAGTGGCGGCAGGTGGAACTTCGTTGTTGGCGACACATTGGTACTTGTCATCACAGTACCTGCTCACGTTGTGGATCACTAGCACTTCCCCTTCCATTCCGATACCTACAGAGAGATCTGTGTGTTAACTTATAGCTTTCTAAACTTATGTTAGTGACACACTTCATAAAAATTAAAGAAACCCTTTCCACGCCTCCAGCTGTATTGGGCGTATAGGGCTAGACTAGACCTATATTTTATAGACCAATCGACACTGGGTGTGTGAAGGGGCCAGCATTACACCGACCGTCTTTACTTCCAGGACTGAACCTGGTAGCAACACAATTCTGGGTCGACCTGACAGGTAAGGTTATTTTTGAAAAACAAATTCAGGCAGGACTCGAACCCACGACCTTCCGAGCCGCAAGCAAGCGTCTAGCTGCTACACCACGTTGACTCTAAGGACACTATTCAGGACCTCCCCCCCCCCCCCCCCAACAACAACAACATTGGAAAACAAGAATAGACCCACTGCCTCCCCAAAAGCATGTCGTAAGAGTCGACTAATTGGGGAGCTTCCTTTGAAGTCAGAGTGCATGTGCCGGAGAGGCAAGGAACCAACAGTCTGTATTCAAGAGAATGAGATCTGTAAAACTGATGCACACGCAACACTCAGGTTCTGGAGCAGGACTGCAGTTCAGTAATGGACGAGCAACCAGAACTTTCCGCCAGAGTGTACAGCTGGTGAACGCAAAGAAGAAGAACAACAAAAATGTCGTGAAAAAGTTATTCAGTCTAAAATTAAACCCGAGGTTAAACCAGACCTTGTAATAGATAGGGGTACATAATACTTTATAATAAAGTGTTTTTCAACACCACGTATGGCACGACTTCCTTTCATGTATACTGAACATATATACTATTTCCAAGATTAATGAGACTGTTTTGATTTATGAGCAACAATAAGCGTGAAGGTGATCCGCGCGAACGTAACGCATTGAACGAAATCTAGTTCAACAAATAATAAAAAAAAAAAGCTAGCCGCGTATCCCTTACAGGACGATGCAGAACCAACCCTAGCACTTTTTGCTGTTGTGGTGTTTCTAGGCAGCTTTACGTCTAGTAGTTTGCCATTGAAACAAATTAGACAACTGAAATTTGTTGAATACTTAACGATCGCCCGAATCACCTTCACGCTGCAGCTAACATACTAATGTGCAGCACACACAGTTTGGACATTTAACTAGATATGTTATCTCCCCCTCTTCCCCATCCTCCTCCTCATCCTCCTCCTTCTTCTTTTTCTCCAGTTACTTCAGATGTTGGGGTGATGTAAGAATCTTCTGCGTGTTCGTCTGAATGCGTTGAATAAGTAGATCTTCATGTCTCCGAGGCTGTTCTCGATGCCGTTGTTCCATCGTTTGTATCGGTTAACCATTGCTCTGTGTTTATTTGTATTTGTTGATGTGTAAACATATTAATTGTCCTAGTCTCAGCTGGGAAGAAGTTTTCAAAAATGGTCGACACTTTTACTGTGCTTGGCAGAAAGTGCCGCTCTAGGAACGGTGACTAGGATAACCTACTGCGTACATACACTGACCCGGAGAGATCAGTTGAGCTGAGTTGATTCAAGAACCAACATCACAGAAATCGAGAAATTCACTCTGGGGGTTCGTCTCCATCTTCAGCAGCCAACGCAGAGTTTCATTACCTGTGGTGCCAATAGCACTCCGATTATATGCCCGTCTTGCCTTTCCTCCAAGCTTTGAGTATCGGTTAAATCTCCTTGTCACTCCCCAAAAAATCAGTTGAATTAATTCAAGAACTGACATCATAGCACTTGAGGAAATTACACAAGCGCTCCGTCCCCATTTTCAGCAGCCAACGCAGAGTTCCAGTACCAGTGGTGCCAGTAGCAGTCTGATTATATGCCCATCTAGCCTTTCCTCTAAGCGTCTAGTATCGGGCAGATCCCCTCGTCACTCCTAAAGAATCTCTGATCAGTTGAACTTTACTGATGGTAGGTAGAGCAGAAAATTGTACTGGGTTTCTGGAGATGTAGATATACAAAACAGAGCGAGAGGAAAAAAAGGCAAGCGAGCAAGAAGCAGCCAGCGATACAAGTGGGACGATTACATTAGGTGATGGCGAACATCAGTCTGAGAGCGTGTACATCCAGAGAGAAAGGCATAGCTCGTTTGAGATCCATTGCAGCCAACCATTATTGATTGATTGTTAGTATGTATGGAAAGAATTGTATGGACAATGGGGCATTCAGGTTATCAACACCTCATAATATGGACTAAAAAAAAAAAAAAAAACCAGAGTTGAATGATCCCACCATATAATTTCCCAGCCATTGTTATTTTATTTGTTTTATCTTTTCTGCAACTACTGTCATTAATCTGCAGAAATATCCTGATATTATATAAAGACATTTTTTTTTATTAACCAATGCTCTTATAATTTCCAGTGTCAAGTGTTCGTTCTTTGATATTAACGACATCCACGTAATGATTTGGTTTACTTTGTTGCATCGATGTCCATTGTCAGCACTGATTGTACCGTATGATGAAGTCAGACAGTCCCACTCATACAAGCAGCAACCAGTAATGTTTTTTCATTGTACTCAGCTACTGAGGCCGAGATTCGTTTGAGTTACACTTGATTGTATTTACTCATGACGCACCTTTGTTTAAAGTAATTCCAAGATTACAACAAAAGGGGCCAACTGATGAGGAAATGAATATGGTATGAGATTTCCGATAATGAACGCTCTTGTGTAAAGCCTGGCTATTTGGTGCAGAATCCAGAATAACAAAACTATTACAGATTTGATTGTGATCAGGTCCATGATTTGACAAAGGTAAAAATCTATGACATTTTAACGATCCCACTTGTTGGTTCAGATAGAAAATGTGTGACAGAGATTAAACTAGAATAGGGCAAGCGATTTTCAGCATTTCAATACATTTGCAATAAGTCGCTCTCATTTAATGTCAGAAAGAGAGAGCTAAAATATTATATAGAATCTGTTCTGCTGTACGACAGCGAATTTTCGAATGCCAGTGAACAAATTAAGAAAAGTTTGGAAGCAACAGAGATGTGGTTTCTGAGACGAATGTTACGAATACTTGGACGGCGAGGGTAACTAACAACGAATGTTTGAAAGAAGCTAATGAAAGTAGATCTCTATATAGAACAATAGGAAGAGACAAACACTGTTCTTTAGCCACGTAATAGGAAGAGGCACTGGAAAACATCGCGAAACTGGAAAGATCAGTGGAAAGAGGTGTAGAGGTAGACCCAGAGTTATGTTGTTCTTTGTTGGGATCAGTTGGGAGTCCAGCTGGAAGAAGTGACATAATATTCTTATCTCTACGATTGTCTACCTCAGGCTGTTTTATTAACCTGGTTACGGCAAAAGCTCGCATTCTAAAGTCAACAGAGGACGCAAAGGATTCTTTTATGAAGAACTGGATAATGCAGTGAAAGCAGTTCCCTAAATCTGGCAGCATCTGTATTCCTAGTAACTTTAATGCTCGCGTGGTGTCAGACTCAAACTCATGGCCAGTTTGTCTTGGAAAATATAAAGTTGGCCACATGAATGAAAATGGGCCGAGACTACTGGAATTCTGCACTAGAAGTGACTTCTGCATCACGAACTCCTTTTTCAAAACTAAATACCGCCATAAGGTGGCATGGAAACATCTAAGATCTGGCCACTGGCACCAGCTTGACCTTATTATCACAAGAAGGCAGCACTTGAACTGTGTATCACTAACTCGCAGCTACCACAGTGCTGAATGTGATACCAACCATTCCTTTTCGAGAACAGGAAGGTGGTATATTTATTCATTCTTGATCTGACGGCAGCCTTTACAAAGCTCGCATGCTGAAGGCCAAAACCAGGAAAGGTACTAATCAGAGAGCTGCTGTTTCCAGATGATGCCGCAATAACCACTCACTCAGAGGAGGAGCTGCAATCTAAACTATGTGACTTTGCTGATGCATACTGTGAATTTGGACTAAAAGTCAGCAAAAAGAAGACAAAGATTATTGTGCAAAGTGTTAATGATAGACCTACAGTCTACATTGACGGTCAAGAGCTTGAGACAGTAGACCATTTTACCTATCTGGGTTCCACAGGGAATAGTAAACTATCGCTGGACCAAGAAATCAACGTCAGGATAGGTTATGCAGCAACAACAATGATCAGATTGAAAAAGAGAGTTTGGGAGAACAGAAAGCTCACAATTAAAACGAAGACCTTTATCTATCATGCTCGTTTTCTCAGCACTCTGCATTATGGCAGCGAAACTTTGTCAACCTATTTGCACCAGGAGTGACGGCTAAATACTTTCACATGCGATGCCTAAGAAAAATATTTAGCATTAAGTGTCAGGACAAAATCACAAACGATGAGGTACTGGAAAGAGCAGGTACTACAACAGTGTTTTCTATGACTAGTCTACGAAGGCTCAGGCGGCTGGGTCACACCTGGAGAAGGGAAGATGGCAGAGACCCTAAGGACATCCTTTATGGTGAATCGAAGGCAGGAAGGAGGCCTCTACTAAGGTATAAAGATGTGTGCAAGCGGGACATAAATGATACAGGTACTGAGGTAGACTCATGGATACAAAATGTCATGGACTGTGTTGTGTGGAAAGGGCATATCAGGAAGGGAATGAGAGTGAAGGAAGAAATGATTGCAGAAAGGATGAGAACTGAGCGTCTGAAAAGGAAACGGATTAAAGACAAATGTTAACAACAATGGTCTTAAAATCCCATGCTATCATTGTGGAAAACTTTTCTTCACACGGGTGGGTCTTGCTAGTAACACTAGCCTTCGCAATGGACGGTGTGTCCCATTGGTCTATAAGATATATCGGTCTAGCCTTATATGCACACTGCGCCTGAAGGCGTGAAAAAGAAGAAAAGACGAAGGAAAAAAAAACCAGTATTGGGACAACGTATACAAAAACGAGATTGTTTCAATAAAACACAAAAATGAGTTTGTTTCAATAAAACAACACCTAACAACACATACGATTTTTCCCTCGATCTTCCTCGTCTTCAAGAAGACCCGTGTGAGTGCGATACCACGTGACGGTTGGAGGCGGTGAACCAGTAACATTGCAGACCAACTCCACTGTGTCCCCTTCTCTGACACTAACCGTGGCACCGGAAGAGAGATGCTCGACGATTCTCGGTGGTTCTGCAAATAAAAAAAAAAAAGCATGTAACAGTAGCGTGTGTGTGTATGCTCGTGTGTGTGTGTTTGTGTGTGTGTATGCTCGTGTGTGTGTGTGTGTGTGTATGCTCGTGTGTGTGTGTGTGTGTGTGTGTGTGAGTGTGAGACGGGGCAGTTATGAGATGTAATTGGAAAAGACCAGGGTCTGATTGACATTTAAGTACATTAAGCACGTGCTTGCGGCATCACAAAGGGAGGGAGCACCACAGAAATGTCCAATAGTCTTTGAACTGAGCGTTGATTGTCTTCATCATCATCATGTAGCGGTTCCTTTGCAGAAAGTCGCTTTCATCACGGTCTGCCTGAAAGAAGCTCGATCTCTCGCCAGCTCTCCCGCCTCATGCACTTTCATACTCAAGGAGTCTTATGTCCTGTGCCCATCTTCGTGTGGGTCGACCCCTGCTCCCACTTCCTGGTACCATGCCTTCTGCTATAATTTTTTTTAATCCCTCGTGGCGCTTGATATGACCAAAAAATTTCATATTCCGTGACAGGCTGCTGTTTATTAGCCTTGATGTTCAGATCTGTCAAAATGTCAGTATTTCTCCTCTTTTTGTCCAAGATATTCTGATAATCTTTCTAAAGCGTTGGTTTTCTTAGTTAAAGTATATTTAAAAATCCCGTCAGAGCAACAAGACACCTTATCTCTATTAAGTATAAAGGCAGGTGTGTTACATAAGATTCGTTTGAAGGATCTTCGTCATCTTGTTTAAGGTAATAAAGCAGATATTTGTGCTGTTATAACTAGCCGATGTTGATCACCATAGACAGTTTTACCTTTAATACACTGAACGAACGAAAGAACAAACTTTATTTTCAAAGGGTAACAAATTGGGCACGCAGGCCCGACTTACATTCGTCCCTTCCCAACACCCATCTTTCAAACTGCAGCTGTATTTAATCAATAAAGCATGTTATGTTCCTACAATAATATGCATATTATTAATATCAAGAAAAAACACCAACTATCGTTGGTAAAATGCATTCGCACACTTGCAGGCGTGCGAGCGCACACACACACACACACACCTACATACATACATACTTACATACATACATACATACATACACACACACCTACATACATACATACATACATACATACATACATACATACATACATACATACATACATACATACATACATACATACATACATACATACATACATACATACATACATACATACATACATACATACATACATACATACATACATACATACAGACAGACAGACAGACAGACAGACAGACAGACAGACAGACAGACAGACAGACAGACAGACAGACAGACAGACAGACAGACAGACAGACAGACAGACAGGACAGACAGACAGACAGACAGACAGACAGACAGACAGACAGACAGACAGACAGACAGACAGACAGACAGACAGACAGACAGACAGACAGACAGACAGACAGACAGACAGACATACAGACAGACAGACAGACAGACAGACAGACAGACAGACAGACAGACAGACAGACAGACATACATACAGACAGACAGACAGACAGACAGACAGACAGACAGACAGACAGACAGACAGACAGACACAGACAGACAGACAGACAGACAGACAGACAGACAGACAGACAGACAGACAGACAGACAGACAGACAGATCAACACAAAGACACACCCACAAACACAAACACACAGAGACATATACAGACACACAGGAAGTCACATACACGCACGAACAGACACACCCAGACACACACACACACACAAGGTACATACATAGACACACATAAACACACACAGATACACACGCAGACACACACGCAAACACTGACACACATACATACACACGCACGATGACTCAGGCAGATACACATACACAGAAACAAATTGACAGAGACACTGACAGAGAAACAGGTGTCGGAACCAATACACATTTCGTAACGATGAGCTGTGTGGCGTTTCCAGCTTTTATTGTTTCTTGCTCAAGATTTTCATTTATCTGTCATTGTACGTAAGAATACTGCAACTGACAATTCCAATTCGTTTAAAAAACTCAACCACGTTCAACCTGCTGCTAGCTAGCCAAGACTGCCAGAAGTCTCCGGCTATATTTGTGGTCTTTTTTATTTTCGCCACTTTCGTGGCTCATGTTCTGGTTTTTGCTCCGTCTCTGGGCTTTGTGCTTCTTTCCTCCATGTCAGACCGCCATTTCTTTTAGCTTTAAAATTCTGAGTATTTTATTTTGCCAAAAAGTTCTGAAAACAGTTTTTGGGCTTGAGAGTCATTGCAAGCTAGCTGTCTGCACGAAAGAGGGCTACACAAAGAACGAACTCCACAGCACAAACCTCTGAAACCCACATGGCGACAGTTAACATCTCAGCCACCGAAAAATTTACATTACAATCACTTTATATATTGTACATAATCATAAAATTCACATATGGCAGCAGGAGGAGAAGATCTGTTCTCGAAACCAATTTTTGGAGCTTTAACATTATCCAAGAAAGCTAACCTTAGATTTCAATGTAATTCTGTGCCCACGACAGGATTGTCCGCCCTTGCTGAATATTTCCGTTATCTGATACAGAGCTATCATCAAATTGATTTACGGTTAGTAATGACTCATACACCAGGGCTAAATGACCTATCACGCAGCCGTCAAAGGTAAAAGGTCAAAGATCATCAATGGAAAAAACACACAATGTAGACAGGGCATGGAAATACGTATTTAGTAACGTTAATCTGAAAAGTGCCTGCCACCCCTTTGGGCTCCGAGCGGAGTTTGTTGACCATGAAATATCTAAAGAGCGAGCAAGAAACATTGCCAACCTGGGCCTAATTTCACTCTATCATTTTGTGCTGTGTGGTGTTATGACTAGGTTAGATCATAATAATATTAGTATTATGCCTGAATCTGAGATGATGTAAAACTCCAGTACTATTTTTGCACGCCGTACAGATTATGCAGTGGTACCTGGTCAGGAGAGTTGCTTGCATTAATTTGGTACTCGGCCAGGAGAGTTGCATGCAGTACTTTGGTACCCGACCAGGAGAGTTGCCTGTAGCACTTTGGTACCCGGCCAGGAGAGTCGCCTGTAGCACTTTGGTACCGGGCCAGAAGAGTTGCCTGTAGCACTTTGGTACGGGGCCAGGAAGTTGCCTGTAGCATTTTGGTACCGGGCTAGGAAAGTTGCCTGTTGTACTTTGGTACCGGGCCTAGAGAGCTGCCTGTAGCACTTTGGTACCGGGTTAGGAGAGTTGCCTGTAGCGCTTTGGTACCGGGCTAGAAGATTTGTCTGTAGCACTTTGGTACCGGGTTAGAAGAGTTGCCTGTAGCACTTTAGTACCCTGCCATGAGAGTTGCCTGAAACACTTTGGTACCCGGCTAGGAGAGTTGCCTGTAGCACTTTGGTACCCGGCTAGGAGAGTTGCCTGTAGCACTTTGTTATTAGGTTAGGAGAGTTGCCTGTAGCACTTTGGTACCCAGCCACGAAAGTTGCCTGTAGCACTTTGGTACCGGGTTAGGAGAGTTGCTTGTAGCAATTTTGTACTGGGCTAGAAGATTTGCCTGTAGCGCTTTGGTACCCGGCCAGGAAAGTTGCCTGTAGCACTTTGGTACCGGGCTAGGAGAGTTGCTTGTAGTAATTTGGTACTGGACTAAGAGAGTTGCCTGAAGCACTTTGGTACCGGGCTAGGAGAGTTGCCTGTAGCACTTTGGTACCGTACTAGAAGAGTTGCGTGTAGCACTTTAGTACCCCGCCAGGAGAGTTGTCTGTAGCACTTTGGTACCGGGCTTGAAGAATTGCATGTAGCACTTTGTGACAGGGCCAACAGAGATGTCTTTTGCACCTTGCTACCTGACTAAGAGGGTTGACTGAAGCACTCTGGTAACGGACCAGGAAGTTGTCTGTAGCACTTTGGTACCCGGTAA